CATTTATACCACCTAAATCTTTCATATTGCATCGAAATATCGTGATTCTATCCTTAAAAAGTTGAGATACACATTTTTATGTAAATGCACAAAGATTGAGTGGTGTGCATGTAAATATGGTTGTTTAGGTGCTAGGAATGTAAATACCTAAGAATTGTGTGGTATGTGTGTAAGAGTTAAAGTTTAGTGTTAGATATGTAAACGTGGGGCAATTGAGTGGTAAGTATGTAAATGTTCCATCGAATAAACACCAGCATTGCTCTATACTTCCTCTCTATTGACAGAAAACATAAGGAAATATGAATTAAAACACTTCATCAGTGATAAAACTAGAAATAAAAGAACATCATCATTAAATGGAATAAGCATTGCCTATAAAATTCTTTACCCAACTGATGTTGTTCTGCTTCAAAAGGCTCTACTTCGGCTCAGCGATTGCCAGGTACCCAGACATAAGAAGATTTTCGAGCAGCATTCAACCCATCAGACGCTATTTTCGGCAAGAGCACGACAAGGATGGGGAATAGGCCGTGGAAGGGATCATTGACGTGGAGATCGCTGGCAAGGAGGTGAAGGGGGGTCGGCCAAGCAGGTGAGGGTTTCAGTTGAGTCGGGTGAGATCCTCGGAGCAGAGAAGGAGAGACGAGCGAGGGCTTCGGTGCAGCGGAGGAGAGGTGAGCGAAGGCTTCGGTGCAGCGGAGGGTGAAGCAGGAGAGCAGGCGAGCAGGCTCGAGCGGTCTCGACGCAGAGAGGAAAGGCAAGACTAGAAGGGAGACGCGGGGGTCTGTCGAGAGAAAGAGAGGAGGCGAGGGAGATGGTGTCGAGCGGAAGAGATGAAACAGAAGACTATTTCGGTGTCGAGGGGAGGAGTCAAGCGAGAGGTGTGGAGCGGTAGAGGCGAGGGGCTAGGACTTCAGTGTAGAGAAGCGTGGCCTGCAAGGGGGCTTCGTTGTTGGGCTTCGGCGAGCGGGAGTCTTCGGTCGAGAGGAAGCTGGGTTTCAAACTGGAGGAGATGGCGTCGAGCAGCAGTGGAGCAGACGAGGATTTCGGTGGCGAGGGAGAGAGGGGTTTCGGTGCAAAGGAGAATGGACGAGCGAGAGAAGAAGATGGGGAAAAATGTGTCAAATTTGTGCGTGGTGTAGCGAGTGTGTTGCTGAGTCACGGAGGATTCTCCTAAGGCCATATGATCCTGTAGGAACTCATTTTCGGGCCCTCTACATGTTAGATCTTAGCCCTTGCAACTCAAATTGCTTAACTCTTGTTCAGGCTCGAGTCCAGCATGAATCAAATCCGAGTTGAACCTGAGTTGAGTCAGGGCCCACATCCCGCTAAAGAAAAAAAATGCATCGATTTCCGCACAATCTGTGCGCGCATAACCCTTACAATATGGGTGTCCTCCCTAGCTAAAGTCGACGTCCCAGACGCATCTATGTGGTCCATTTTGTCATCCGGAGTCGTCCGGGCAAGTTCGCTGACGGTCGGGCCAAAAATGTGTCAAATTTGTGCGTGGTGTAGCGAGTGTGTTGCTGAGTCACGGAGGATTCTCCTAAGGCCATATGATCCTGTAGGAACTCATTTTCGGGCCCTCTACATGTTAAATCTTAGCCCTTGCAACTAAGAGTTGAATGCTTGATATTACTCATGCGAGTTTCTTCACAAAAATGAGTCAAGAAGTGACTTGAAGTTCTACGGGAGGTGGGCTCCATTACTAGTCTGCTAAGATGGTCAACAAAGATCTCCTAAGGCTATATTTTGGGTTCTGGGAGTAGGAGTCTAAGACCTCACTAAAAATGAGGTCAACAGATGTCTGTAAGTTTATGGCTAACAAGGGCACTAGGTTGCTGTACGGACGAAGTTTGAGAACTCATATGAAACACTCTAGTATGGGCTTACCTCATTGTAGCAACTCATGGGTCAAATAGGATATGTGATTTGACACGTTCATACTGTGAGTTGAGGCCAACTAGAAAACTCATAATGATCATTTGCGCTCTTTGAATCTGCTGAGTCTGGACATCAGTACTGAAGGGAAATGGTGTATCCAATTATTCATAAACACGTTTAAAGTGCATGTGATATGTGCTAAGCGACTGATCCTATTGTTCATTCAAAAGAACTCATTGCATACATCAAAGAATCGAGAACTATTTTCTCCTAACAACACAAACATCAATTCCTCCATCGCATCTTTAACACAATCGCAATGGGTAACATGACCAGATCGATTAGGTTCGATATAGTTATGTATTGCATCAAAAGTTGTGTATCAATTCAAATTAGAATCAGTCTCAACAAGGGGATTATCAATGATGTGACTCTATTAAAAGGTACCTCTTACGTAGATCTCATAGTTTTATTTCAATAAAAAATCATTAATGTCATTTAACTTTCGTTTGTAAATTTAGCCGCCGATAAAACCCAACCCGTCACAACAAGTTTATGTTTCTTAGCCATGAGTATAACCAAATATTGAAGGGGACTGAATTAACTAAATCCCCAAAGAAGCGGAAAACCCATAAGTTGAATCGAGCTTACGAATGGACTCTTTAGCTCGATCGCAATTATAACCAAATATTGAAGGGGACTGAATTAACTAAAATCCCAAAGAAGCGGAAAACCCATAAGTTGAATCGCGCTTACGGATGGACTCTTTAGCTCGATCGCAACGACGAGTAGTCAAGGAGCCAAAAGCACAACTCATTCCATTAAGTAAGTCAAGACGAAACCGATGTACTGCTTAAATAAAAAAGGAGCTGAAGACAGTCAAAGAAGACAGATGATGCAAACTAAATCTCTTTCTGACAGAAGCTTAACACAAAGTCAAAACGATGAAGGCCATGCAAACCAAATTGCTTATTAACGAAGTCAAAGCCAGACGACGATAAAGCAAACGTTCATTCATCCGATGCCCTAATTCCGCCATCTTTGACAAGCGATTCAATTGAAGCCAATGAGCTATACAAACATGTGATTCATAACACATAGATGACATCAACGAATGATTCCAATAACAAAGACAATACTCTGATCCACGAGGCAGACGAGCGATCCAAAAGCACAATTTAGACCACGCAGATGACACCAAAGAACGATACCAATGATAGAGAAGAGACTTTGATACATTGCGACATTAAAAATTCTTATTTCACAATTGAAAGCATATGTTACATATTTATATACACTCCTATCTCTATAGATTAGGAATATCTCTAATATAGAAAAGATCATATACTCAGATCTCCTCTAACTATGTTACCTAACATGCAAGCATTCTAATATACAAGCATTAAATTTAATACTTTACATTACAAACCTCAACAATTTACAAAATTAAGCTTTCAAGAACATCTAAAATAAACCAATTAATATAATTTATAAACTCGATCCTCAACAAGTAAGATGTAGAGTTGACAACATTCAAAGCTATCCAATCCCGGTTAATGGTTGTGTTGAAAATGAATTTCAACCAAATAAAATTTTCAAATTACAATAATCTAAAAATATTCAAATAAAATTGTATCACTTAAAGCAAGGAAAAAATTGAACCACCATTCACACTAGTTAGTCAAAGGGGAAAAAAATATATGTTTAACATAAATTCATATGGAGCTAAAAACATATCAAACCCACAACTAAATTACAATAAATTTATGCTAACACGAATATGAACTGAGTATTACGCCCGCGTGGTTTAGCTAACGGACTCTACAAATAAAATAGTTACAATCTGAGCTCTCTGACTTGATGATTTGGCCAATAGACACTACTAATATTACGGTCAAAACTGTAACTCGTATGTTTCCTGACTTTTTGAGTTATGAAGCATAAATTATACCTAATAAGGGATAAAATCATCTATTCACTAAGGTTGCATTAAATTTGTCTCCTTAAACAGATATCCGTCGTGGGTTTATAAGGTTACCTTAGACAAAGCAACATATGATTGTTAACAAGTATCCTTCAATCAAGTTGGGTCGATTATCCCCTCTTAGTAGAATATGATTCATGATAACTTGAAAAGACATAATAATGGAGTCTTGATCGGGTTTGTCATCATTCCTCCCACTATCCACTCTAAACTCACAATGATAAATTTTATAATCCAAAAACCTAAATTGTTGCTACGTGAGAAATTAGCACTTTAATGACTAGCTTTAATTGGAAGTGTCTTCCCGCTATTGGGAGAGATAGTTAACCATAAATGCTTGGTTATATGAAAAATCTCGAACCATAGATCTTAAAGTCCTCATAAATTGAGGGCAAAATCTCTGGGTAGTGTCTTGTCTATTATCTCATATGTCTTCTACAAAGTTAACCCATAACACATAAAATTCCCTCTCTTTCATTTCGAGGGAGGCTGAAGCGTAAATTTTTAGAGTCTATCGATGGTTGCAAAAGATATCCAAAATGAGATGCCTTCCTTCATATTTTTTGCAAACAATATTCTAATTAATTAGAAATCTATTAAAATAAATGAACAAATAGAACAGAAAGGAAAATATTTTAAAAAATAGAGCCCTCAAAAGTTTTGTATATAACTTCTAGAGTTAAAGTTGTTCGATTAAAGTGGATAATGTCTCAAGTGTTTTGTTTGAATGTAAATTTTATAGAATCATAATCAAGTCATATATATTGTATAAATCCAAATTTTTAGAAGAATATTAGGATTGTTGTGGCAAAACTAGTGAATAAAAGTTAATGAAAAACTATTTTTAAGAGAAAAAAACTAGATTAACATCTATTAAAGGTATACAATTTAAAAATGTCGAATGTAAGGTTAGAAAATAAGTGCATTATAAGAGTTGATAAAATTAATATGAGAGAACTAGAAAGGAAAAGAAACAGATCTAAGATTATTTTAAAGAAGTTAATCAAAATGATTTAAAAAAAAAATTAACACTTTAAAAATCATTCAATAGAAATGAATGGAAAAGTGAAGATTCATAACACCGACTCCAAATAATTGGGAACTTGGTATAAGGGTAATGAGCATTACAAACCTGACTATCTATAGCAAAATACTCCATGTTCATCTGAAAATATTTATCAATTCAAAAAAAAAAAAAACTTAATAAGTGAAAAAGAGAAACTATGAGAAGAAATATCAACTTATTGATAGGTTAGTAGAGCATAAATGAGATATTAACCTCAATTAATGCACCTATGCGGGGTATGACACTGGAGTCATTCATGATGTAAGCAACCAGCTCCTTCGGAATAGGTGAAGTGAAATATATGTATGCACTGAAATTAGATTCAATTAGAACTTAAGAATTAAAGAGGCCTTCATTAGTGATTGCTTATTTTCATGAAATATGAACAGTAACATAGTAACATACTTTTTGTATAAAGGGCACCTCCCTGACATATCAGACAGAAACATGATTATACTGCATGAAATAAGAAATGTAGTTAATAGATGACAGCACTGCAGTAAAAGCCCCGACAATTAAGAAGTGCCCAATTTAATACCATAATTTTAGAATACTCCAATTTAATCCAAGGTTACTTAAATATGCTCCAAATTGGTCATAAATCATATTTTTCATTATATTTAATGGTGGCCTGTATGAATTGAAGGATATTTTTGTCATTTATTTAATTATTCAAAAATTATTTGGTTTGTATATAAATCTCTTTTGTTACTTGTTATTAAAAAGTTATAATTTTTAATTTGTATTAATAAATCTCTTCACAAGTCACCACTTTGTTTCAAATAAAAAATTTTAAAATAAACTAGAATTATGCATTAAGAGTTCACTCAATCTAAAATTATATGAATTACTCGATTTCAATTAAATTTTTAATTTTAATATTATTAATCAGAGAATGTCTTCTGAAATAGTTAAAACTAACTTGTAAAATTACTTAATGAATTTATTTTACAATTAAAATATTATGCATGTGAATGAAAAAATTATGTGATTGATAAAATTATCTTTGGTGAGTTTAATTCGTGAACTTTTCAAATAGACAAAATTACCCTTCAAAATGTGAAAGAAATTGTTAAATTTAATGGAAAATATGATTTAGGGCCAAATTGGAGCATTTTAAAACTCGATGAGAAAATTGGACACTTCTTAATAGTCGGAAGAATAATTTGGGTTGTTACTCAAACATATAAATTATATAAAGTTAAAAAGGGCCCAAAAAAAATACATGATCCCAATTGGATGCAAGAAAATTTGCAACCATTAAGGGAGTCTTTTATGGGACATCATCTTTTAGAATCGTGGCACAACAATGATATATTTATGCAAAAAATAAGTACACATTAACAAATCTATATATATATATATATATATATATATATATATAATTGAATACACGAACTTATTGTAAAATGGTGTCGTCTTCCTCGATATCGCTCTGCTAGGGTTTCGCCATTATGACGAACGCTGGTTCTGCTCCACTGCTCGCGCTCGATCTTCTTTTGTTTTCTTCAGTATCGCGCGTCAACATCCTCGCGGCTCGTCTCCTACGTGAATGCGTCCGTGCGGTTGGTTAAGGATCGTCTTCAGAGGCATCTTGCGCGTCTTTGCGAAATAGTGTTATACGAGTCCTCCGCAGCTTCACCCCAGTCGACGAAGCTTCCTCCTTAGCTGGCGCGGCTCGCGTTGTCTTCTCCTGCACTCGACGACGCCGCTGTCGCCTTGCCCGACAGAAGATTCCCCCCGAAGTCTACTCGCCTTTTTCTAGCGGCTCGCCTAGCCGTTCAGGAGATGGCCTCAACAAAAATTATGTGATTGATAAAATTATCTTTGGTGAGTTTAATTCGTGAACTTTTCAAATAGACAAAAATACCCTTCAAAATGTGAAAGAAATTGTTAAATTTAATGGAAAATATGATTTAGGGCCAAATTGGAGCATTTTAAAACTCGATGAGAAAATTGGACACTTCTTAATAGTCGGAAGAATAATTTGGGTTGTTACTCAAACATATAAATTATATAAAGTTAAAAAGGGCCCAAAAAAAATACATGATCCCAATTGGATGCAAGAAAATTTGCAACCATTAAGGGAGTCTTTTATGGGACATCATCTTTTAGAATCGTGGCACAACAATGATATATTTATGCAAAAAATAAGTACACAATAACAAATCTATATATATATATATATATATATATATATATATAATTGAATACACGAACTTATTGTAAAATGGTGTCGTCTTCCTCGATATCGCTCTGCTAGGGTTTCGCCATTATGACGAACGCTGGTTCTGCTCCACTGCTCGCGCTCGATCTTCTTTTGTTTTCTTCAGTATCGCGCGTCAACATCCTCGTGGCTCGTCTCCTACGTGAGTGCATCCGTGCGGTTGGTTAAGGATCGTCTTCGGAGGCATCTTGCGCGTCTCTACGAAATAGTGTTATAAGAGTCCTCCGCAGCTTCACCCCAGTCGACGACGCTTCCTCCTTAGCTGTCGCGGCTCGCGTTGTATTCTCCTGCACTCGACGACGCCGCTGCCGCCTTGCCCGACAGAAGATTCCCCCCGAAATCTACTCGCCTTTTTCTAGCGGCTCGCCTAGTCGTTCAGGAGATGGCCTCAACAATGCGTTCCTATGTCAATGCACTTGCCAGCGACTTTCCTATTCCTACTCGTGCTCCTCTTTCAGGTTTAGAGCCTGATTTTCATATTAACAAGTCCTGTGATGTTCCTCAATCTTGACGCTATTGAAGGTGGTGGTGATCACATTTTTATTAAAACGCTTGGCAAAAAATTGGGAAGTTTGCTCTTATTTTCACTAAGATTGAAACCAGCACTCTCGCGTCTTCTTTGTGTTTTACTCTAATGAGGAAATTCCTTTATTGCACCTAAAACTGGAGATCATTCGGAAAGAGTTTGATGCTATGAAGTTATTGGGCAGTTGAAATATTGGCTTACTTGACGGTTGACATATACTTATTCACTTGTCTCACGATGTCGATTACACACATTTTTTCTCGAAAAGTTATCAAGATCGACAACCGTTTTATGAAAATTCTAAAGTGGACTGTCGGTTTTGATCCAAAAGTGGAGTCCTTTATCATTCCTGTTTGAATAAAGTTTCTTGGGTTAAAATTACAATTCAAGTTAGAAATACTCAACTATTTAACAATTGCTTACGGTAAGTCTGTCAAGGTTGATAGTCACACGCTTGCTATCATCAGACTCACAACTGATATTAGCAAAAGGTTGAAATAGAATCACGCCCTCCTTATTGCTCTCAATGTAATATGTTTGGTCACAGTTCTACCATTTGCTATCGCTTGCATCCTCATCTAGGCCAACAATCGCTAAAGATCAGTCATCTACCATCCATGCTGAGAAGGTGCAACACGATCCTCTTTCCAACACCAACCATCCCTGCTGAGAAAGTGCAACCCGATCCTATTTTCAACACCACAGTTCCAGATGAAAAACATCATTCTACAGGTACAGATCCAAACGTGATTATACCACTCACTGTTATTAAAGAAAACTCACTTACATGTTAAGACTCACAAGAGTGCTTCTTCAGTCCGATAAAAAATCAGCTGGTACAACAAGCTTTTGCTTCTAATGTTAAACAACCTAAACATGTCTGTTGACCTCATTAACTTGCTCAACTATTTGTTTGAGATCTTTAGTCTCCTACTTTTAGAACTTAGGATCTGCTCTAGGAGTTCTTATTGACCATCTTAGCGGACTAGCAATGGAGCCCACCTCCCGTAGAACTTCAAGTCACTTCTTGACTCATTTTTGTGAAGAACTCGCATGAGTGGTTCCAAGCACTCAACTTCTAGTTGCAAGGGCTAATGAACAGCATGTGGAGGGCCCGAAAATAAGTTCCTACAGGATCGTACGTCCTTAGGTAAACCATTTGTGACTCGATTACTCGTGAGCGCCGCAATTCATGCACTCTCTGCACCACACACGACTTTAACTTGATTTTACTCGTCCGGACGACCCCAAATGATGAAACGAGGAACCGGACTGCGCTGACACGTCCGGAACGTCAACTTTAGCTAGGAAGGACACTCATATTGCTACGGTTTCGCGCGAGAGCGACTAGCACGGATATCGATGCACCTTTTTATTTTTTTATTATTATTATTATTTTATTATTATTATTATTTTTATTTAGCGGGGAAGCGGGTTCGAGCTCAGCTTAAGTGCAATTCGGGCTGGACTCAAGCGGCTAAACGATTTTCAGATTTCAAAATTTTTAAATTTTCAAATTTAAATGAAATATTTAATCCAGTTTTAATGAAATTAAATTAGGAGTTATTATATGCCAAATAAAACTCCTCCCCCCATTAGAAATTCATCAATTAACCGCCCATTATCGCGTAACAGACATTTTGAATTCCTCGAATACAAGATCCCGCTTAGCTCCTTCCTGGCATTGGCATCTTCCTCTCACGACGAGACTCGGCTCCCTCCTCGGCACCGAGTCTCGACTGCCCGACTCTCGCTCGCCTTCTCCCCCTATCTGCACAGCGCCTCTTCCTCCTCTCGCTTGACTCCTTCCTTCGGCATTAGAGTCTCCCGCTCGACTCCCGATCTCCCGCACCGAAGCCACATACCTTGCGTCCTCTCTTCCTCAAATCCCTCCTCCCGCCCGGCTCGCCTCCCCTGCTCGCCTTCTCCCTCTCCCGACTCGATCCCGCCCAATAGAAAGGGACGAGGCGCTCGACCCTTTGCTACGCCGAAAATCTTCGCTCCGCTCGACGCTGCTCCTCCCTGAACCAAAGGTTGCGCTCCCTCGATCCCACTCCTCTCACCTGCTTCGATATTCCCTGCACCGAGGCTTTCGACTCCTTTCTCTGTCACCTGCTTCGACTCGCTCGACTTCGTCTCTTCCTAGTTTGGCCTGCCTCCTTGACCGCTCGATCCCGCCTTCATGTTCACGCAGCAATAGCCCTGCACGACACAACCCAAACCAACTCCTTCCTCTTCTTCTCCAGTGAGCTTTGGCCAGGTATACCTCTTCCCCATCTTCTTTATTTGTTCCAACGTACACGACATAACAAGTAACACCTAAACTGCAGTTTTATGGATGATTTTGGTATTATTTCTAGATTATCTTGCTTAGATTTATTATGGATGATAAATTTTGTCAATCCATGAACTAATTATGTGCAGAGGGGAATGACTGTTTGGCAAATATTTAGCGTTGAATTATATCATGATTAATGATTTCAACTTAACCGTTTGGTTTATTATCTACAATCTATTAATCTTCGGTATTTTCAACTATTTGCCTACTGATTTTGACAGACAAGAAACCTACGGCTTTATTTTCCAGTTTAGTTATTGATACCAATCTTATGCACATTGATATGCTAAAGTGTTGGGGGCACTAAACCCATCATTTACGGGGTTGTTTTAATCACTGTTTTGAGACATTTTGGTAGGCTGATT